TACTTAATAGTTGAAGTCGTCACATTCAAGGGGAGTACGTATATAATAATCCATACTTCTTACATGTAAAAAGTACACATTAAAAGAAACGGCCGTAAATTTCATCAGAAAACAACCAATAATAAGAAGATAGGAATTGAATATTTGGTGATAGATGAACTATTTTTGCTACTATGTATCTTGTTAAATATCTGAATCGTTGCCATAGTATTAATTAGTTAAAATTAAAGGGATTGAATTTTGATAATTGAAGAATAAGTAAAGCAGCTTGATTGGAAAAATTTATATTTTTGATCATGTTATTCATGGAAACTGGAGAAGGAGGAGGTGATGAGGTTAGAAAACATTGTAAATTTCACCTAATTGACTGATATGATAGCTAAAGTAATTAATGCTAATTGCTAAATAAAATTGAGTAATTAACTCTTAGAAAGCTCTTTTGTTGTAATGTAAGTTTGACAAAGAACACGGAGCCAAATCTACAACTAAAGCCCACAAGTTACAAAGTATTAAACTGATTTTTTTTTATATAATTTTGGGCCTTTTTTGGCGTGGGCCCTAGACTGTCGCACTAAGGGCTGAGACTAGGTTTGCATCTCACAATCTTGAGGTTGTGGATATATCAAACTAGGGCTGAGCAAAACTATTTGAAGATCTGAAAAATCCGATAATCCGATCCGCATCCGATCGGAAAAATTATGGAAATCCGATCCGAATATGATTTTGAATCGGATATCTGATCCGGATTTTAAGATATCGGATATCCAAATTTTGGATTTCATATATCCGATATCCGAAAAAAAGTCGGAAATCAGATATCGGATATCCGATCCGATACCCAAAAAGTAGTTGTTTTTCATTTTTATTTCTCGAATATTCTCTATTTCTTAGCCTTTTCACACAAAAAAAAAAGGTTGGAGACTAGAACCCTAATTCCCTAAACAGAAACGCATTTTCCACACACTCCCGCCTCTCTCTTTCTCTCCCCTCTCTCCTCTCAAAGTCTCAAAGTATCTGAGATTTCAGTGATCTCACTCCTAAATCGAGTGCCCTCTTCTCAGATTTTAGTCATCTTACTCCCAAATCGACTACGGTGACGCGTCTTCTCCATTTCTTGGGTTGGTGACATCGTGGCAAAGACAGCTACTCTATCTTCCTCACGGCTTCTTCATCTTTAGTAACACTAGTAGAAAAAATTAAATAGACACCCCCCTATAGCACCAGTTCTTAAAAACCGTGCCAAATAAAACGGGCGGGACCAAAAAAATTAATAGTTGGCACCGGTTCTATCCCAAACCGGTGCCAAAGCATGCAATTAGCACATGTTCAAACCGGTGCCAACTTGTAAAATTAAAAAAAAAAGGATGGGGAAGGAGTTGGCACCGGTTCTCCTTAAACCGGTGGCAATTAAGCAAGTTAGCACCGGTTCAAACCGGTGGCATTTAAAAAAAAAAACGCGGGTTTGCTAGGTTTGCTGCTTCACCCTGTTCAATTCAACAGCACTTTCTTCATTGTTTGCTTCAAAAATTCCCAAAAAGTTTCGCCCTATTCTCTTCTCCCTCCATGTCCATTGAAAGGCTAGAGCTTTCTCCTCTCCATTGAAGCAGTTAAGCTAAGCAACCTTACTCACATTGCTACTTCAATTCTCTGCATTCCTCTTCCCAAACCCTTCCTCCATTGAAGCTTCCATTGAAGCTTCGGCCTCCTCACGCACGCAGCCTGGATGGGCTTTGTTCTGCCTCCTCGCGCACGCACGCACTCAGTTCTTCTCTTCTGTCTCCCTCCATGCATTATTGAAGCAGCTTCGACCTAGGTAAGTAATAACGCTCCTCCATTCACTTAGCTTCTCCATTGTATTGCATTAACACCATTGTTGTGGTTTTATGAGGAATTGGTCTTTAGTTTAATATTTGTAAGTTTCTTGTAATTTCTAGGGCTTGGCAATTGCTACTTAAATACTCCATTAAACTCGCAAGGCTCCCCCTCCATTAAACGCACAAGGCTGCCCCTCCACAAATGTAAGTCCTTTGTAGTTGTTATTGTTGCTGTTTATAAGCTGAGAATTCTATTTAGTACAACCTGCATTTATCTATAATTCTAAATTGTTATGAGAACTTTATTATCATCACTAATAAAGTTGAGAATTTTATTTTGTTTATAGGATAATTTAGTACTTTTTATTTAAGAGAAAAAAGTTGAGAGGAAGCTAATAGTAGTAGTTCATTTACATTAGTAGCTCATCAAATTCTACTAAAAAGCGTATCAAATGAGATAAGTAAGCATTAGATATTGAGTAAAGTATATAAGAGTAAAGCATTTATAGGGTATAGGGTTTAGGGTATAGGGTATAGGGTTTAGGGTTTAGGGTATAGGGTTTTAGGGTTTAGGGTTTAGGGTTTAGGGTTTCTGTAACTTATGAGTTTAAGCGTCGAACATTTTGCTTCCTTCATTTAACTTCCCTTGAATATACTTTTCTTTACGAGTTGGTTCTCACTATATATGTGTTTTCAGGCTAAGAAATGGGTGTCAAGGGCTTCTAGGGTAAGATCATCAGTTTGGAGAGTGGGCGGAAAGCATCCTGGTATCTTACTCTGACTGTCCTTGTTCTTGCTCACTAATATCATTCTTATCTTTTCCCTTAATCTGGTTTCTATTTGTGTTCTATATAGGCTATATTGAAAAAGATTCAGAGGAACTTTTGGGCGAAGCATTGACCTTCTATTTGAGAGTGTTGAGACTTTGTAGGTACTCAGGTATTATATATAACTTTATGTGCTATATATAAGTTCTTGTTTGCACACTTTTGTGGAGATGGTGTATGATATAACTTTAGTGCAACTTCTATCATGATGTGTGATTAATCCATTGTTTTTTAATTGATTGCATGTATCATCATATGCCTAGATACCCGTTCAAGGCTCATTGAATAGTCCCCGGTTGGGACTGTTCTTGAACGTTTACTCTCACTTAGGCGGTGAATGTATGTCCTTTTTTTCGATTTTAAGGAACATCTTGTCTTAGCATTTCCTCGATCACCATGTTCTCTGGGTACATATGTGGGTAAGTAATTACCTACGTCGTGTACTTGGAGAACTGGGGGGAAATGCTGCCGGATTTTCCTTAAAATTGGAAAGTCGACATACATTCACTAGTGAGAGTAAACGTTCAAGGATGGGTTAGGTTGGAGTGATAAGGGCCCTTTGGAAGCATATATGCATTTTTGTATCTATATGATTGTTATATGCATGTTGTGTGTTTGAATTTGATTTACTTATATAATAGATGGTAGCAATTATACATGATTCGTAATATATTGCCCTGTTTAGTGACAATTTACTTAATGGAGAAGGATCGTGGCTGGATGTATGGTAGACGTGATACATTGGAATTCTTTAATGGGGTTCAAGAGTTTTGCGCAAGGGCTTCATCTTATTAGCGCAGAATGGGTTTCGATTGCCTCTATTGTCCTTGTGTTGATTGTATTAATGTGAAGGTGGTCAATAGTGTTGATATCATTAGAGATCATGTAGTTTGTCGTGGTTTAGGCTTAAATACCATGTGTGGATTTGGCACGGTGAAGAAGGAGGGTACATTGGGGATGTTATTGGGAATGATGTGCATGATGATAGAAACAATGACATTTGTGTGGAAGAGGAATACAAGAATGATGAACATATTGTTGATACTGGTGCTGAGGATGGATTTGAGGATGATCATGTGGATGAGGTCGAGGATGAAGGGGTGGATGAGATGATGCGTGCTTTTGAAGGTGACGTGTTTGAGTCATTATCGGAGGCTTCTAAAAAGCCCTTGTATCCTGGGTGCAAAAAATACTCTAAACTATCCGCCGTGCTAACACTTTTTAACATTAAGTCAAAGCATGGGTGGACGGACAGTAGTTTTACTTCTTTGTTGAGCGTGTTAAGTGAGATGTTGCCTGACGGGAATGAAATTCCTAAGTCTTACTATTACGCTAAGAAGCTCATGTGTCCATTTGGTTTGGAGTATAAGAAGATACATGCATGTCCTAATGATTGTATTCTTTATCGAAATGAATATGAAAAATTGGAGGAGTGTCCACGATGTAAGAAGTCGCGCTACAAGCGCATGAGTTGCAATGCTGGTAAGCAGGGACCGCCTGCTAAGGTGTTGGTATCTTCCCATTATTCCAAGGTTTAAGCGTCTATTCTCAACACCAACAGACGCTAAAAACTTGAGGTGGCATGCAGAGGGAAGAAAGAATAACAGAATGCTGAAGCATCCAGCCGACTCCCCGCAATGGAAGAACCTTGATATCAAGTTTGGAGAATTTGGTGATGAAGTTAGAAATTTAATGCTTGGTTTGTGCACGGACGGGATGAATCCATTTGGCACTCTCAGTACCCAGTATAGCACATGGCCGGTACTGTTAGTGATCTACAATTTGCCTCCTTGGTTGTGCATGAAACGGAAATACATAATGCTTTCTCTATTGATATCGGGGCCAAGGCAACCTGGAAACGACATAGATGTTTATCTTGCGCCCCTTGTTGATGATTTGAGAAAGATGTGGGACGAAGGGGTTTCTATTTTTGATGCTCATAAGAATGAGATGTTCACATTGCGTGCAGCTCTTATGTGGACCGTTAATGATTTTCTTGCGTATGGCAACTTGTCCGGGTATAAGAACAAAGGGAAAAAAGCATGCCCCATTTGTATTGATGGTACGCCAAGCAGGCGCCTTGATCATTCTCACAAAGAGGTGTACTTGCGCACCCGAAGGTTACTCAGGCGCGATCACCCGTACCGTAGGCAGAAAAAGGCTTTCGATGGGACAGTGGAAGAGGGGACTGCTCCTAGGGTTGACTGGTGAAGAGGTTTACGCTCGAGTAAAGGGTGTACGAACAGTCTTTGGGAAATCAGAAAAAGCGGCGGAGTCAACTGCTCTCTTTAAAAAAGAATCAATCTTTTGGTTGCTCCCGTACGGGAAAGAACATGACGTTAGGCACTGTCTTGATGTAATGCATATAGAGAAGAATGGTTGTGATGTTCTTGTGGGAATGCTGATGAATATTCAAAGCAAGACAAAGGACGGAAAGGGTGCACGGGACGATTTGAAAAAGATGGGGGTTCGTCCAAAATTTTGGGTTCAGCAAAGGGTTAGTAAGGGAAAGGAACAGGAAAAGGAAAATGAATTGAGTTCGAAAACATAAAAAGGGGAAGAGCAAGGGAAAGGGAAAGGCCACGGATGCGTCGAAGAAGAAAAAATGAGGGAAAAGCCAAGGAGGGCAAGGCCTATTTACCTCCGGCTTGCTACACATTGTCAAGGGTAGAAAAACGGATGTTTTGTGCATGTCTGTATGGCATTAAGGTTCCATCAGGGTACGCATCTAACATGAAGAGATTTGTATCCTTAAATGGAGAATTGAAGCTGACAAGTATGAAATCCCATGATTGTCATGTTCTGATGCAAGTTTTCCTACCAATTGCAATACGTGGTATTTTATCAAAGCACATGCGGGTAGCTATTACAAGCCTCTGTTCGTTTTTCAATACAATATGCAGCAAAGTGCTTGATCCTTGTACACTTGATGCTTTACAGGCGGATGTGGTTGTGACTTTGTGCAAATTTGAGATGTACTTCCCACCCTCGTTTTTCGACATAATGGTGCATTTGATTCTTCATTTGGTGCGTGAGATTAAGTTATGCGGTCCAGTGTTCATGCGGTGGTGCTATCCTTTTGAAAGACATATGGATACATTGCAAGATAAAGTCAGGAATCGGGCTCACCCGGAAGGAAGTATGATTCAAGGGACCGTGGCTGAGGAGGTCGGTAATTTTGTGGCCGACTATATAGCCGTTGCTAAACCTATTGGTATTCCTACTTCTCGACACGAAGGGAGACTTGATGGTCATGGCACAATCGGGTCGAAACGAATGTCGCCTGATCAAGATAAGTTCTTACAAGCGCACCTATATGTGTTGCACCATGTTGCAGATGTTCACCCATATTTAGACGAGCACATGGCTAGTTTGCGTGATGAATTTCCATCGAAAGGTGAACGGGCACTTATGCATTTGCATAATAAGAAGTTTGTGAGCTGGTTTCGTGATCGAGTGATGGGTGGAAAGTATGAGAGTGTCACAGATACAGTAAGATGGCTTGCTTATGGTCCTAGGGATGACGTTCGCTCATTTGAGGGATATGACATAAATGGGTACACATTTTGGACTGAGCATCAGGATTTGAAATCATCCTTGACCCAAAACAGTGGTGTAACTCTTGTGGCATCGTCAAGGGAGTTTGCAAGTGCTAAGGATAAATCACCTGTTGATGCAGAGTTGTCATACTACGGTCGAATTCAAGAAATATGGGAGCTTGATTATTGTGACTTCACGATTGCTCTTTTCCGGTGTAAGTGGGTTGATAATAACAGGCGTAACGTCAAACATGATGACTTTACTCTTGTAGATCTTGGCCACCTGAATGATAGTGCTGAACCATTCATCCTTGCATCTCAAGCCAAGCAAGTGTTTTACGTAAGTGATCCAGCCGACTCAAAATGGTCTATTGTGCTAGCCGGCAAAAGAAGAATCCTTGGCGTTGGAGATGTCGAGGATGAGGAAGAATATGATGCGTTTGATGACTCAGCACCTTTCACTGTTCCTAGACCTATTGTACCAAATGAGATAGACGACCAAGCCAATTACATGCGATCAGACCACGACGAAGGAATATTAGATTGAGGTACTATTTTTTGTTAGTTTGAAATTGTAGGCGTCGAACGTATTATTAAATCACATTTTTAGGTGAAAATGAATGAAATTGCTAACTTACTTGCCCATTTTTCTTATTTTCTTTTAAATGAATGAAGTAACTTAGTTCCCCATTTTCTATGTTAATTTGTATTATAATTCAGCAATTATATTTGATTATAAATTTACCTTATAAATTTATTTATATTACAACTAATAACATGTTATGTTTGTAATGACAGGTTTTACATCTCATGGCGGATGATCACTACCGTATTGGAGTGGAGGATGTAGAGGATGATGATGATGATTCATCTGGGGTTGGGGACGAGTTGTATGATGTGAACAAGGAGCCTAATTTGGGTGAGGCAGAAGATCAGGCTCAAGATGTTTTGGATCGTATGCTTGATGAGTTTGAAATTGCAGCTGAACAAGCGCCTCTATCGAGAATGCAATGTCTGAGTCGTTCGGCGAGGACCAAAGTGGAGGGGGGTGAAGGGACCAGCGCAGAAAAAGCTGAGGGGTCCGACTACAAGTTTCAAGAAACCTGTCGGTCCAATGGTCTTGGAGTATGACAGGTAGGACAACCTACAGGCAAATGGCGTCGTCAGTATGCTGTTCAAGTTGGGATTTGTGCGCGCAAAATCCCCATTACTCTTCGTTTGAGCGACGTACCTATTGGCTTGATAGACACGTTTTGGAATGATACACGGGTAAGTGATTTGTTTCCACATTTGTAAATTCCTTCACTTTATTGTTATTTAATGGGCAAACTAATAATGACTGTTATTTGTGCTTGCAGAGTCTATTTAACATTCCAAATGAGTACGCCAAGCGAAGGGTGTTTGAATCCTTACTTGCGACAAGATTCAGAGGGTTCAAGACCACCTTAGTTCGTCGGTTTATCACAAAGAAGCTTGTGAGAAAACCAAAGAACAAGAAAGAAGGTGGCATGGATGAAGAAGTCATCGATGAAGAGAAACTCCCATGGCAAATATGGCCTAGTGTATCAAAGGAAGATTGGGATGCTTTCGTTCTTCAAAAAAGCAAAAAAGAAGCAATTGTAAGTTCAAGTAACTCTGATGACAATTGTAAAATATATTTAATATTTTGGTAGTTTTGAAACTAATATGTCTAAATATGTAGGAAATAAGAGAGCAGAATTCCAAGAATGCATTGCAGAAGCAATACTACCATCGTATGAGGTGTATGACGTATGATGAATGGAGGGAGACGTGGGTGAGTGAGGGAGTATACCCCACTTCGCTACTAGGGTCTCCACTATGCCCTCTGACTCCACGACCAGTACTTTGGTGAGTCGTGCTGGAGATTTCTTCTGTTCTTTGCATTCTCGTGACAAGAAAACCGGAAAATGGTCCATCAAGGCTCCGGAAACAAAAGAAATGGCAGATAAACTTGTAAGCAACTATGAATTGTGAACTGCATGAATCTGTTGTATATATATCACTTTACATAAACACTAACTTGATGTTGCCTTTTT